GCATTACCAACTTCCAGTCTGACTAGATCTCAGAAACTGAGCAAGACTACCCTTGGTCAGTACTAGATGGGAGCTCCCCAAAGAAAACCAAGTTGCTTCTGTAACTGGTGTTCGTAGACCAACAGATGGCATTCTTTCTCTGGGCCAGAATGTTCAAAATCAATGCTCCAGTGTTACCTTGGTGGTTGGGGGCACAGTTCTGTAGGAGGTGCCATATTTCAGATGAAACACCATCATTATAGATTCCATGACACTATTTATAAGAGCAGGCTGGTTAGCCTCAGTTTCCTCACTGAATTTTACTCTGGGCTTGCTCTATCAAGACCATTAAGGTCCCCCTTAATTCAAGTGGGTAAGCATGGGAGTGAAAATCACTATATACATGCAACTACTGCTATTGTAATAATATTGTGGTATTGGAAAGTTGGTCCTTTTGTCAGAGGTGATGCGGGGGATGTAAACTCACTTTGTTTGGGTCAGAATCTCCCCCACCAACCACAAACAGCTCCTCCTCCAGCCTGCCCCCTCCATACATATCTTGTGCTGCTGCACTTGGTTCAGGCAGTTTCACCAACTACTGGCTCCTGTCATGGAGGATTAAAAGAATGTTTGTTCACTGTGCTGATGCATGTCAAAGCATTCTTTTGGAAAAGCGCTGTGAGACAACAGGGGGCAGCTAACTGGTGGCCCCAAGAGGTCCAGCAAGACCTGTCTCTAATGGGATAATAAGACCATGGTCACCCCTTCAAGACAAGGTCAAGCTGAGGTTTTGTCATCCCGGTTTCAGCACAGTTATCACTCCCCCCCTATACAGGTGCACAGTCGCGCCACCTCAGATCAACCAATCAGATCTGTTCGAAGAATGGCTAGAGGTAAAGGATATGTTACTTTATTGAGAGAAGACATAATCCAATTCTGTGTGCTTTCCAGATCAGCTGGCCTAGTTATCTCTGTTAAAAACACAGCACAGAAGAAAGTACTGCTGTGTACAATGTGACAATATGTTCATCCCTTTGGTCATTCAAACATAAAATGTTTTACTGATCGATACAATACACTATGTGCCTCATGGACTGATTTGTATTTCTTTAAAAAATCTTCTCTAAGTTAAATAAACTTTTAAAAAATATTTTTAAATGTTTTTTGTTTGAAAGGAAAGACATCCTAAAAAAAACACTTGAACATGTGAGAAGTTCAAGGTTTTGAGAAGCATGCCTGTGTATTCCTGTGTTCTTAGTCCCTGCAGGTGAGAGAGTTGTAGTCTAGAGCAGAATAAACAAACTAATGGCAGAGAGTAAGTGGTTAAAAGTAATAGTATTCTGCACCTCAGCAGCCGAAAGTTGATGCTGCATTTTGGAAGGAAACCACTGTTCTGAGATAAACCAAAGGACTTTATCTGTTCATCCGTAAACAGCTTTCAGAAACCTCAATCTACGTAAATATTTGCTGGAGAGCAGGTGTAATCGGTGAATCTGCTGATCTGTTCTAGATTGTGGCTCTGATTAATGTACCTGCACTAGAAGAAAGAGCACGCTCTTACAGTAGCTCCTGTCTGGTAGTCATGAAAAGAAAAAAGCCAACAAAAACCAAAAACCTTCATACTATGAACAGAAGCCCATCTTGGTTTACTGATCTCTAAATATATGCACAGTTACTTATGTATGTAGGTGCTCTGGCCTCTGATCTGAAATGAACAACAGTGGTAGAATTTTATAAGCACAATCTATCCTGTATTTGACAGCTTCAGGCAATACTTCTGTGAAAAGAATATTTTTTTTATGTCATTCTTAATATTAAGCACATTTTGAAAGTAAAATTACACTTAAATACTACATGTCACTACATAGAAAGCTGAAATGCTTAGTAGTAACACTAAGAGTGGTCAAGATTGTTGTTTTAAGTTTTCAATAAGTTTGAAGAATGTGCTTCTAAAATTGTGGCTGATGTCTTACACCTCCATCTCTGAAACAGCTGCTTCTCTCTCCCTCTGTCTTCTTGCTTCGGTGACTTCCATGTTATTGTGCATGACCCCATACGTCTATTCCAGTTAAACCTAAGCAGTTGACAGAGTTGAATGATCTTTTTAATGACTCGTTTTTACTATCTCTTTAGAGATGAATCCGATTAGTAGTTCCTCAGATGAGTTAGTATTATCAGCTGCCTAGTTATGTTAGCAAAGTTTCTGTGTGTGATGGTTCATTACCAATGTAATCTTATTCAGAACATGTAATTGCAGTTCTTTCATCCTGGTGCTTTTTTCTTTTATAACTTGAGCATCATCCATCATTTATTCCTTACATGGTCTCAGTGAGTCAAAGCTTAGTCTACAAGCAATAGGGCATTGCTGGCCTAAATGCTGAATGGCACACAGATTCAATCAGGAGGCAATTTAGAGATACGTTACTCCGTACAGCATGTCTATGGATTTAAATACTCCCAAGAGACAGAGATAGATTCAAACCCAGGACACTGACACTATGGACAGCACTACCCTCTACACCACTTCACCACTCTATTTCACAGTTTGCATAAACAAGATTTTAGTACAGTAGATACTAACCAGGAAAGTTTAGTTGTTGTTTTTTCCCCTGTCCTAAGCAATGTATGTTATCTATTTTTTTGTTTTGTTTTTGATGCAAGAGATAAACAGTGCTCTTGAAGCCATACTGTACATCTAGTCTAGAAAATTATTTCCCACATGACCAACATAATATAGCTACAGCATTAGGCTGTAGATCTTTGATTGCTATTGTATTTGCTACCAGTAACCAACACTGCATTCACTAACATTTGTCAGAAAAATAAAGATGTCAAAATGAGATATATTTTCATCGGCCCAATAAAATCCAGACATCTTCTTTACCACAACATTTCCTTCTAAGAGGTCTTGTTTCAGCTGTGGCTCAATGGCAAAATGTTGCATGTCAACTTCTTTATCTTCTGGAGGATCTTATCAGCTGAGTGTCAGCTCTTTAAAACAATTAATTGGGTACATTCGCAGAAGTCATGTAAAAGATATGTTTAATGTGGGCAAAGGCAGAGGATCCTGGAAGATAAAATGTGGATCAGAAGGCAAATCAGACCTTGTAGACTGATAATAACATTGCTAAGATGAATTGCAAAGAATTAAGAACCCATTTGTCTCTACATTTGATTTTTGGAGTGCTATAGATATAATTAAGAGCATATACTGTATAAGTTTGTCTTGCTTTGATGTGCAGATTTCAGCAAAGGACTGCATTTTAGAGGATGACCTTGTAGTTAAAGGGACATTTAATTGTGTGATGACATTCTTATTTATTTCATTTATTTGTTGGTTTTTGCTGCTCAAGAAAAATAAGGGAAAATGCTAAAATATGATTTGTGTTTAAATTCCAAAGATTAAAGTGTACAAATTGAGTTAGCAAGCCCTTAGGCTCAAACGTGGTTTGCTGTGCTATCTGTTAATCTGTTTAAGAAGAGGGGTATGCACTATGCCCATCTAAGGTTGTCATCTGACATGTTAAATTTAAATGTGTTCTTGTCCTTGTTTTAATGTTTTATTTTTATTTTAATTCTATTTTATGTGCCATCTGGTTTAATGTACTTATTTTTAGAGAGCAATGTTAAAGAATTGTGGTTTGGAGTAAGTATGCCACAATTGAAACTCCACTTTTTGTGCCTACTTACTGTACAATGTCCTAACCATTGTAGTCACACATACAGCATCCATGGGCACTCTAAAAATAACACTTGACATAGCAAAAATATACGTTTTTAGGAATCTAGCAGTTTCCAGTAACAGCTTGAACACTCAAAGAATTGGTTTAATACCGAAAGTTAAGCGACTTGTGGGAACTGAGTATACAGATTGTATCAATTTTCTGAGAGATTGTGGTTATCTGATCATGTAATTTGCAGGTGCTTGGTACCCTAAGAGTTCTGAATTTTAATTTAAAGAGAAACAAGGCATGCCATTTATGTGGTATAAATGACCTTCCAACCAGCAGAGCTTTCTTAGCCAACACAACCTAAAGTGCAAAAAGCAGACCGTGATTCTTCTTCCCACTGCTCACTGTAAAAAAGTGTTCTAACCACCAAATGGCTGCCAGCCCACACACGTTTACCTGCAATGGGAAAGCACTGCCACCTCAATAATTGAGCTATCGGGGCATTTTACATTTTCCAAAAACATAACAAAACCAGAGCAAAACATTACAGTCCTTTCCTAAACTTTTGTGGATGGCAAGGGGATCAGACCTCTTGGAAATATTTCCAAGCACTTACTGCTTTTAAAGTGAATTCCCATGAATTATTTGAGTAATTAGGGTTATTGACTTTTATTTCATGAAGTAGTAATTAAAGCACTCAGGAGTTTTTTTTAAATGACAAAGTATACTATCTTCTACTTCCATGAAATCACTTCAAATGTTTTCTTAAGATAAGTGAGTCAATATTTCACTTTCATTAGGAAAGACTTAAAAATGGAATGATTTTATTTCATTTTGATGAAATGTCATTATAATTGCATACCAGTGTATGTTTTTTACAATGAACCCACTGGATTCATAAATATTAAGTGTTTTTCTCTCATAGTGATTGCAAATTTGCTTCTTCAGCATAACCCTGACAATTTTTAGGTATGTGGTTTGCTCTGCAGGAAACGGCTCCGTGCACACTGCCTGACAATGGAGTCCTGTCACTCCCAGTCCAGTGAATGCACCAGTAAAGTGTATTGTTCTAATTTACACAGATATTGAGTTTTATTGCTTGACCATTACAATTGCCAAAGGAAACTAAAGTGGCTCTTTATAAACTCTCAAATCTTTTTTTACGACCTCTGTGTGAAAGAGCAAGGTATGGGCACAGTTCACAAAAAAGAAAAAAACCTTCAATGGACAAATGTTTGAGGAACAGAAAGGCGGAAAGGAGGCCTTTGATTAAATAGGACTTATAGCTCAAGAGTTTCTTTGATGCGCCACACTGGGTACAAATCTGGTTGTCTTTTTTTTTCTTTCCAGTGAGGTGGACTCAGCAATTACCATTTCATAATAGCAACACTGGGCTCTACTGACAGGATCGGAAGTTTAGAATCCTTGGAGATCAAGCAAAACACAGCTGGAGATTTGGAAAGGATGAAGCGCCTTTGACTAGACAGTATCCTCACAGCTATTCATCTGAGCACCAATCATTTCTTTTCTTTTATCCATCACCGAGAAAGAACACTCTGAGTTTGGGAGTGATGAAGAGAAAAGTGCTAGCCATTTCGTTTTCACAGCTACAGTAATTAATAAATGTTTTTTAGGAAAGCTTCTGTGCTTTCAAGAGAACATACAAAGTAACAGACAAATCACACACACAAAGTAACACAGACAAATCACAGTTTTTTTTTTACAGCTGGCAGATTACACTTTGTTTCTGATTTATGTTTCAACCATTTCATTCTGCAAATAGCTAGCTTGAATCTTTGGCCACCGGTAGTGTGCATTACCATTGAAAATCTTGTAGACATGCACTGTAATGTCACCTTTTTTGATATCTTTCACCTATACAAACGCGATTAGTAAAGTACTGGGCTGTATAAGAGCACAGGATGTGATGATATAGTTGAGCAATAGCGTCATGACATGCACTAAACCCTTGTAACTTGCAAAAGGCTACCAGTTTATTAGGTTTCTTGGCTATTTTCAACTCCATAAAAAGAAGTGATGAGCAAATGCCCAGCTGCACTTAGCATTTCTTATCTAAGAAGATATTAGAGTACGTGTGATACCAGACTTAGCTCAACCCTCATGTGCGTAACTCCTAGAAAATCAAGTCAACATTCTTCTAAGATTAATATATTAATTAAGTGAAAGGAGTGACACAGAATAAATATTGTATATAAGATATGTTGCCTCTGACATCTTCTGATGTCTACTAAAATTGCATTAATTGAAAATGATGTTTGCAAATGTCCCTCTTTGGTTCAACTATTTTGATCTAAAATTGTATCTGTTTAAATCACCACAGTGAAATTCACTTGTTTGGGGGTGTAAAATGTGTTGCACTTTCACTCACAATGCACATATGGATGCCCTTTCAATACAGTGATGTACCCTCTACAATGAGAAGCACTTCTCCCCCGCCTCTGTCTCAATTCCTATTGTTTTATTTTCACTTTTTGTTTTATTTATGGCAGCCCAAATGCAGTCTTCTGCCCACTCAACTGCGGCAGACACAAACAGGAAATTAACACCCCTGCGGGGCCTTTTTCAATGAGTGGCCTTAGCAGGCAGGAGGTGCAGGCAGACAGTGCCTGTAAAAAAGTAACAGTCCGAGCTCTATAAAACTCTGAATAGGAATCGCCACTCAGACAGCAGAACAAGGGCAGTGAAAAACTCCCGCCTTGACTTGTCATTTACATTAAAAGAGGAAGGAACAGTAGTATTCTTAAAAAAACAGCATAGGAGAGACAGTAAACTAGCCGGATTATTGGACCGTAAAAAAACGTAATACAATCTCCATGGCGGCAAGTCTGGTATTCTGAAGCATCTGCCCGTGTGCCAAAGCCAAGTCCTTCGGCTCTTGCTATCAGCAGAATCCCTTCTACCCGGGTAGTCTGACTGAGCAGATGTGGCAGGCAGGGCAAACCCATAAAAAAAGAAACCTGGGGCATTTACTGACTGGAAGCTGAAGGAAGAGTGTGCACCATCAATTCTGTGGCCATATAAATAAACATTTTCCAGCGCTTTTCTTAAAATGGAAGCTGGTACACTTTAATCAAACAACCCTGTAGCTGTAGGTGAATTGCTTTAAGATATAAAAAATTCAGATCCCCTCAAGTCAATTAGTTTTAAGTACCTCGTGCTTTTAAAAGTGTTGGTATGTTAACTAAGGTCTTTAATGACTCATTTCTCATGATTAGAATATTTATGATTGTTTGATGTGTAATGTACCGTACAAGAAAAAATCCCTAAACTGTAACTGTAGGGTTTTAAAAAAGTTCAAACTCAGGATCTGAATCGGATCGGTACTTTTTTGCACTGTTTTTTTTGTTGTTGTGACTTTGAGTTGAAGCTTAAAAAAGCTGGCAAGAAATCAAAAACCAACATAAATCTGTATTTGACTTAATTATTTAAGTCGGGGGGGATTCTTGTTATAAAAATGGAAGGTTATTTATAACTTGTGGGGTTTAATTTGAGGTAATAATCTGGCCACAGGCTGTGGGTGAGCCCCTAGGTGGAATGCAGGGGACTTTCACAGTGGGATGTGGGTGATAAGAGCTGTAGGTTTGTAACATTTGTGAACACATATCATCAGAAACTCCCAGCTAGTCCTCACAGACTTTTCTCTGTGAAATGCTTTATGTGTTTTTTGTATTCAACTAACATACGGTTTGCTTGCCTTTATTGTTCTTTAAAGTGCCTTTTGTGTACCTGTACTAATTGCACAGAAGTGAAAATGTATTAAGTAGCAGTTAATTGAATATGTATAAAAGAAATGCTGTCAGAACACAAGTTGTACTTGAACTCTGCATTTACAAATTCTGATTATTATAATTACGTACTGATTCTGATAATAAACATGAATAAAGATGCCCCCTTTTATTAACACTATACTAATGTTCCGAATCCCAGCCTCAGTCTTTATTGTTATGTGTGTTTTACCTAAAATGATGTTACTATTTTAACTGTTGTCCAGGCAGCTGTGTGAACATTTGTGTGTTATTGGCAGAGGATGGTACAGAGACCGAGTGTGTAGAATGTGGAGTGTTTCCAGACGTTCATCTCTGACGGTAATATGAATCTCTTTCCCTTTCTCACACGCATATGCACAGAAACTAGACAAGTTTAATAGAATTTCTACTGACGCAAAAGTGCTTCAACATGTGGGTGTAATATTCAGGCTACTGCAGTGCCACCACCTTTCTTGACAGTAGCATGTCCCTGTCAGTACTACAAGCGCCTGAGTGGGATAACTTATCACCCCGCCCCAGTCCAGCCAGGCAGGCCTGATGGAATGTCACAGTGCAACCAGACACTCTACAGCTGCTTTCCTGGAGGTGCAGCTTCTTGTCTGCAAGTAGGCCAAATAGAGGAGAATCACATTAAACAGTTATTCATGCTGCACATGCTAGAGCTTTTACTGATGGAAATTGTCTTCACTGCAAAGTAGATGCCACAGAAAATCCTGTTAATGCTGAGCAGATTCATAGTGAGTGTTTTTTTTTCTTCAAATAAACCAATACTTCATGGTGTACTCCTCCATGTACAGTATATGTAGTTAACTCTTAACTAACTGAACACCCCCTCCCACTACACCTTCAATTAACCAGGAATAGTCTTCAGTCAAATACAGCACCTGAAAAACATGTGAATGAATTTCTGACTTTTTAATGGAATTTCATGACATTTAATGGAGCCATGCCTGTGATCAACTGCAATACATACCTGCTGTAACGGAGCCTAATAGAGTCCTTAGTCACAAATAAATTGCTTATGTATAGCTAGTGTTTTGTATGAGCCCATTTTTTATGGGTTCATGTCACTATGCATTGTTGCAGTTTAGGATTTACCAAAGCACCCTACAGTTAAGCTAATCCGCATGTAAGTATAGTAAGTGCATGCCAACTTTATTGCTGGTGCTTTTGTTATGTTCGTTTTATATGAAAATGTAAGTCATACTAATTATACAGGTAGTGTCTACGTGGGAATGCAATCCATTGATGATTATTCACCTAGTCTCTCTCAGGCCCACTCACCAGCAACCAAACACCCTCCCCAGCACAGAGGAACATTATACAAGAAATTTCCATCTCGGCTATTGTGCACACCAGATCCCCTGCCCACACACCCACAGAAAAATGTGTGGGATTCCAGCAGACTTTTGTTAATATTATCTGTTTTGGGACTGCAGATGAAATTTTGAAAACAAAACCTTATTAAATAAAAGTTTAAAAAAGGGTTTTGGGATGCTGTTAGTCACTGCACTGGCATGTTGTCATTTAGTTCCTCAATTATAGAAAATGCAATTAAAGGGAGAAGAAAGCAGTTTTCATGAGGAAAGCCCTGCAGCAAAAAGGGAAAAAGACCCGCAGGAATGTCAAATGGAATTTCTGCCAAGGGCTGAAGAATTTGCTGCCAATTTGTCCTCATTTTTCGGAGGGTTTTCGTGTAAGGGATAATCGGCACTTACTCACTGTTAAGAGCACAAATGTCTTTGCTACTCTGAAAGCTCTCACCCTTGGCCTAAGGTTTAAATCTGTCCAGCAGGAAAAGAGAAAGTGCTGGTCCACCCCTTGGTGCATTCAGAATATTTTCAGCCTGAAACATTTCCAGAAATTGCTGAAATTCTTTTCTAAGGAAGTGAAGTAATTTTGTGCACAATTATTTGCTATTGAACAGAAATACAGGAGCATGTTCTGCAGGTGCAGTAAGATGTTGTTTTTATACATAGGATAGTGGTTAGCAGAGTTTGCATAGATCCTGTCTTCTTCAGACATAGTGGCCCATGGTAATTTTACAAGCAAGCTGCCTTGTGCTACATTTGATAAGATGCTGGCGTATATTTTATCAACAGGAACTGGTAATGGAAACCCAAGTAGAAGGAGCCCATAGGTGTCAACATGTTCAGCAGGGGTCTGAAAATAGCAGCCTTGTCACATCTCTGCATGCACTGTGCAGCAGTGGAACTGGGTGCACCCTGGTTCAGCCAATCAGAGCTGGTGTGCCATGGAAACAGCGCACTGCAGCTCGGCTGCACCCATACCTTACCTTTCTCACTCCTTACCTCAGAAAGATCTGCCTCTCTTCCTGCTTCAGCTCAGCAGCTCAGCTGCTCGGAGATCAGCACCAAACACTGAGCGTCTGGACTCTTTCATGTGGCAGAGTGTCATCGAGCACATCCTGGGTCTCTCTCTTCAAATTAGTTTAATGTTTTTTTTTCTAATCTACTTTTACCAGATCTCTGCTACTCTTTTGTGTCAGCTCTTTTACTGTAGAAGACTGAAAAACATCTGTTTGCATTGAATGCTGCTTTTTCTTTGATCTGCAATCCTCCTCGCTGTGCTGATGTACGTACGTGTCAAGCTCTGAAAAATTACAGTTTTACTAAGAAGTGATTTTTTGTAAATTAAAACAAGGGCTAAATAAAAAAACTCTTCTAGTTGTCTGGTTTCACGATACAAATCTACCAGATTTATTCCTTGTAATTTATTTTCATCTCTGTTAATTTATTAAAGGAAGTATTTATTTAAAATCTTGCTGGATATCTGATAAGCTTTTAAAAAATACAGTTTAAAAACTCGAGAAATTGTAAGCTCTGTGAAAGTAACATGAGTTCAGAAATTCTTTTTCTAATTTAACCTCACAAAAGGTCTTATTCAGAAAGACCATTGATAAAAGCAAAAATATACTGATCTCTGAGCTCCATCCATGTGCATTACCTGTGTGGCCCCAGGTATGTTCATGAGACAGTCATGAGGATGATGAGGGGATGTGTAGGCCACAGACCTGTCCTATGTAAAAGGAAACTCAAAACTGGGTAAAGCATTGCAGTGAAACTCCACTCATCCATGATTGTAAACTCTCACGGATGGCTTCACATACCCTATTAGTACTAATCTGAGATGACCCACAGCTATGTCAAGTAAGGTGGCCAGAGATTAGAATTAATCGGGACCTGTAAAACCAACCATCATTCATTGCATTTTCAGAACTGCATAGAGGATTTAAACTGGGCTCCAGCAGTGTCCTCAACATGCAGCTGAGGACAAGAAATGATGGTAGCTCTGTAAATTGTGTTAAGACAGATTATGTAGCCTTTGTAATTGTTGTTGAGCTGCTGTTGTTTAGTTTAATGCTGAATTTCATTTCATTTTCATTTTCTGTAAATTTGTTTTTTCTTCATTCACTAGTAAAATGTCAAAAGAAATTATTTTTGTGAAGATGGAGTAAAAGGGTGTTGTTTTCTACTGGCAGTCTGGTTTGTTAGCCTCAAGAACTACACAAGTCTGGGCCTTGCCAGTGCTGGAATGGGCAACATCCAGGGAAGACCAAGCTTTGGTGGACATTTGCCATGTAAGTGGGGTTGGTGGACCAGTAGCTGGTGCTCTTTCCTATGTGCCAGAATTCCCAATATGGTAACCAGGGACACTGTGCTGGGGTGTGTTTCAGCCACACAGAAACAACCTTTGTCCTGCAGGTACTACATAGCCTGCCCCATTGTGGAGCACACACTCTTTTTATCCCCTTTATTTCTTCCCTTAAACAGGGTGTTAAATTTTAGCCTTGTCAACAGCTGGTAGTGGGAAATGGTGCAAATGGTAAGAAGTGACATGCGATACCTAGTTGATTACTGTAGGTTACAATTGGAATTCATTAATCTGGGAGGAGATAATGACTTTTTAACTTCAAAGAGAGCTCAGGGAGATAAGGAGGGTCAATAGATGTAAACAACTTGAGATATGCCTTTGTGTGCAGCTCACTCCAACAGGATTTTATAGTGTGAACCAGGACAGCGATCTTAAAGGGGTCTGCTACAGCTTCATGTCATAGGCCTGAAGTCCTTCCAAGTGAGAAACAGCAGGATTGAATGCAGGTGCAGTTATCTTTCTTTTGCATTCTTTGCATCTTCCTCTTCAGGATAGTGAGAATGGTTTGAATGCTGATCTTTGAGCTGCTAAGATAGGTGCAATGGCCTTGTTTTATAGCATGGAGAGTACAGCTGCAGGTTTTGATATCATTCAGGCCTTAATTCCACTGATACATCAGTACAATTTCTGGACAATTAACAGTAAATGGCAATTTATTAGACAGTGCAACAGTGAAATTCAACTGTGAACTCCTGCCATTCAAATAACCCACTGATACTTGTCTTACCTTCACAGTGGCAAATTCTATGGCCATCCCAATTTATAGCTCCCTCTCACCCTGAAATGGAGCCAAAAAGTCCGTGGAGACTGTAGTGAACCCAAATGTACAGCCTGAGTGAGTAAGGGATGCTTCCGAGATTATATGGTTATGTGTCTTCTAAGCAGATGTGAATGTGTGTTGGATGCAGTTGTGTGTGTTGGGTTACAGTGAGCTCACTGCCTGGCCCATTGCTTTGCTCTTAAACTTAAAGGACTGCTGTCTCGTGGTTTTATTTTTTTGCCCTTGTGTTTTGGGAAATGTGCTCAAACTGAAATACATTTTAGCATTGGAACCATGACTGTCACTTGGCCACCTGCACATGGAAAAATAACATCCTGCCTCTGTATTTTTTATGTTAGTGCTTTATTCCTTTTCCATAACCCGTCTAAGCCTGTGCCTGAATTCTCTTGCACACCATGTACTCCGCTTCGCAGGTGACCCCTGACTTCTGCCATTGTCCTCTCTCTCTACCCAGCCTGGCACCCCAGCGGCATGCCCATGGTTACCCATAACATTCAGCGGCAAACTTTGCTCTGTCACCATGACCACTGTTTAACTCTTGGGAGAAAATGTGCAGGAAAAACAATCCATCCTGTAATAAAGGACCTTCTGCTGTCATAATGATCCAATGGCAGAAGGCCACTAAATCCTAACAGGAACCATGATTTCCTTCTATCTCTTTGCTTCAGAGCCTATTTTTCCCC